TTTTTTATTCGGTTGCTTAACTGTTCAAATTTCATTCATAATTTATACATTATACTAACTATATGTAAAAATATTGATAATTACCGTAGCTTTTATATTCATGAATAAAAATTTTCTAAAATTGTAAACTATTTGTAGAATTTAGACGATATGCATTTATTGTAGATTTTACTAATATAAACATTCGCATCTCCGTTTAAGTTTATTCATTCGAAATGTCTCAATTGTCAAGTAAGTACCATGTTGAATTAATTTTTCAAATTTATATTTATGTATTCCTTTGCACCATAGATTCAACAATGCATACAAACAATGTCTCAGACTTATCGGCAATTATAACTGATAAAAAGGTAAGAACTAATGACATCATAAAAAGTCTTATATTTTTCTTCATTAACAACAGACTACTTCGACTGGTGCAGAAAGACGAAAAAAAAGACCTGCTCCTCTATCACCTAATTGTCAAGCAAAGCAAGGTATGGCTGATCATTATGCATCCGAAGAACGAACTCCGAATGTTACTGCAAAATATGTTGGTCAATCAATATGTGTTAATGTGACTGAGACAGCTGTGAAAGTTCGCCCAAACGTTCAAGTGTTGCTTAAACTTGCTGATGAAGAATTGCTTCAAATAGTGATTAAAATCGAAAGCGAATGTCCACAATTATCTTCCTCTACAATTTGATAAAATATCAATTGCTCCATAGATGAAGCGTCGTTTTGTTTTTGTATTGGGAACGTAGTGTTGTAGTACTTAAGTTTTCAGATCATTTTTGTTCTTTTTCTTAGTGTGAATACGGGGTAACCCTGGTGGGCTTTTCTGCATATGTATATGATACCCTTTCTATATGCACACGGCCATCCACACTCATACCCTGAGTCCTAAATTATTGCCTTCCTAAAATTACATAATAGAAGGATAAAACTCACTAAAAGAGTCAAACATTCTTAAAGAAAACTTTCATTGTAGATTATTGTTAAAAATTTATAACTTGTCACGATACTACTCACAAAAACGAAATGTCATATACATCTAGTAAGTAAAATGTCAGAAGCCTTGTTCTTTGCGGCTATGTCTTGATTTATATCTGACCTCTTTAGAACCAACAACAGGCATAAATATGAACAAATCTTCGGACTCAAGCATCGCATCCACCCAAGATAAGGTAGTAATGGTCTATATTCTTATACAATATTCATACAGTTATTATAATAGGCAGCAGCTGAATTATCAGCACAAAAAATGAAGCGAAGTATTTCTAGCGATATTCAGATGGAAGTAAAAAAAATCATGGTTAACCATGAGCATTCAAACCAGAAGAGTCAATTGATTGCTGCTGCATCGCCTGCAATTAAATTTGTTAGTGCAG